TAAGAACTCGTTTTAAAAAAACGGCGGAAGCAAAGTTGTACGTTTTAATACTTTAGTGTTCTACTGATGTAATAGAAACGCCAATAACTTTTAAACTATTCGCTTAATATGAATCATGTATTCGCCAAGTTTGTCTAAAATTAAATAATTAACAATGTTGTCTAACATCATTAGCCCTACAGCGACTCGGTATACTTTAAAACGCATTTTAAAGCATACAACTTTGCTTCCGCCTTTATTGTGAAGAATTCATATAATAATAACGGCGGAAGCAAAGTTGTACATCTATTTACTTGTGTTGAACTAATGTAATATATATGAACATAATTTTAAAACCGTTTGTTTAATATGAATGGTGTATTCGGCAAATTTGTATAAAATTAAATAATCTAATATATTGTCTAACATTATATGACCTTACAGCAACTCGGTAAACTTTAAAATCTAAATTATAAAACGCAAAATTAATCTCAGCGCGTTTATAGCACATTTATTTGTTCAATCTTTCATAAATCTGAAACCATTCGATTAATATTGTTGGGGTGTGAGAAAAACTTGTAGAAAATTAAACAATATACAATCTTTACTAACATTATGGTGTCTTCTAACAATTCGGTATACTTTAAAATTGCATTTCAAAACGTACAACTTTGCTTTCGCCCTTATTATAAAGAATTCGCATAGTAAAAACGGCGGAAGCAAAGTTGTACGCACTAATGTAATATATATGCCCATAATTCAAAAACCATTCGTTTAATATGAATGACGTGTTTGGCGAATTTGTTTGAAATTAAACAATATACAAATGTTTTTAACAATAAATGACTCTAAAGCAACTCGGTATACTTTAAAATCGCAATTAAAATAAAGCAAATATACTTAATATAAAGTATACTAGCTTTTAAACAAACTGAAGTTTTTCACAGAATTTCTACATAGTGTTTGTAGTGGAATCTTGCTTTGGAATTCAGTATACCTAGCACATATTTTTACGTTATCGTTTGTAACTCCTAAACCATTCTTTTGATATATATGATGTCTCCAGCAAATTTGTTTAAAATTAAATAATTAACAATATTGTCTAATATCATTATGCCCTACATCAACTCAGTGTACTTTAAAACGCATTTGAAAACATACAACTTTGCTTACGCCATTATTGTTAAGAAGTCGTATTAAAAAAACGGCGAAAACAAAGTTGTACACCTAATAAAGTAAATAATTATATTAAACAAGTTGAGTTATATTAAAAAATTAATAACAGTAACATTATACTATTACTATTATTATATTATTAATAATAGATAAATCTGCTATTAAGTCTGAAGTGAATAAAACTCTAAAATTTCTTAAAAGTTTAAAACATATATTATGGATTCAATATAACAAAATTATTATAAAACCAGAAAATTATTTACAATCTACAAAACGATGCAATTAGAATCGTTTCCATCATATCACATAAACAAAATATTTATATACAATTGATAAAAAGTATAAAATCACTATACATACTCAAGGTAATAAAAATGCTTCAGTCGACAATAAGTTATTACAATTTCCACAAACCACTACTTTAACTTTATTAAACAATTTCAGACTTCTGATGTCACTAAATCTTGCATTTTCGAGAGATCTAGGAGTCTTTTGTTGAGTATTTTTGTTGTCTTTGGCTTTTGAAGAGTTCAGGAGCGATTTTTGATAGTATTCTGTGACGAATTTTTCTTGTGGGATATTTTTATCCCATTGAACGTTGCAAGAGATTACTTTCTTTTTGGAGGAATTGAATATCGGTTCGTACTTTGCGTGGATGAAGGACTGAAAGGGAAAAGAGATTATATATATATATATATATATATATATATATATATATATAAGAAATGTGTACCTCGTAATAAATCCTCTTGTTAAGATTCATCCTGATAATAATGACGTCGATGGAACGATCCTTAATGTCTAAAATCACAGCATCTTCGACAAGTGGTGAATTCTTGACGATGTAAAGACTTAAGTACAACTCGCAGCTCATCTCACCAGCTCTCTGGGAAACAAAAAATAATTATATATAAATAAATATACTCAATGTTATTCTCAAAGAACGACTAAGTCAGTTAACATAAATCCACCCTTTATATACAAATTAATTAGAAATATAGTAGAAATATATAATCTTATGGTTTTTTGAAATAATAGTACTAATTATATTTGAAATATTACTACACTTATAAATTTTTTGTTCAACTGTTCAAGTTTTATATAATTATTTAGTTTATTTGAAGTACAACTTTGCTTCCGCCGTTTTTATTAAGCGAGTTCGTTACAATAAAGGCGCACGCAAAGTTGTATGCTTTAAACAGCGTTTTAAAGTATACTAGGTTGTTATAAAGTCATATAATGTTAGACAACATTGTTGATTAGAAAATTTTAAACAAATTCGCCGAATATATAATTTAAATCAAATGTATAGTTTAGAAGTTACAAGCGATTAAGTAAAAATATGTACTAGGTATACTGAAATCCAAAGCAAGATTTCACTTCAAACACTATGTAGAAAATCTTTGAAAACCTTTAGTTTGTTTGGAAACTAGTATACCTGATGCACAGATTATTTGTTGCTTTTTGATTGCGATTTTAAAGCATACCGAGTTGCTGTAGAGTCATTTATTATTAGAAACATTTCTATATTGTTTAATTTCAAACAAATTCGCCGAATACATCATTCATATGAAACGAATGGTTTTTGAATTAAGGGCATTTATATTACATCAGTGCGTACAACTTTGCTCTCGCCGTTATTACTATGCGAGTTCTTTACAATAAAGGCGAAAGCAAAGTTGTACGTTTTGAAATGCAATTTTAAAGTATACCGAGTTGTTGGAAGACATTATAATGTTAGTGAAGATTGTATATTGTTTAATTTAATTAATTAATCGAATGGTTTGAGATTTATGAAAAATTGAAGCAATAAATGTACTATAAACGCGTTGAGATTAATTTTGCGTTTTATAATTTAGATTTTAAAGTATACCGAGTTATTGTAAGGTGCTATAATGTTAGACAACATTGTTAATTATTTAATTTTAAACAAATTTGCCGAATACACCATTCATATTAAACGAATGGTTTTAAAATTATGTTCATATATATTACAATAGTTCAACACTTTTAAAATAAAAAGACGTACAACTTTGCTTCCGCCGTTATTACTATATGAATTCTTTACAATAAAGGCGGAAGCAAAGTTGTATGTTATTAAATGCGTTTTAAAGTATACAAAGTTGCTATAGGACTAAATGATGTTAAACAAAGTTGTTAAATATTAAATTTTAAACAAATTCGCCGAATACATAATTTAAATCAAAATAATAGTTTAGAAGTTACAAGCACTAAAGTAAAAATACGTACTAAGTAAACTGAGTTCCAAAGCAAGAGTTCCCTATAAACACTATGTAGAAAATCTTTGAAAACCTTCAGTTTATTTAGAAACTAGTATACTTATATTCATTGCTTCTGTTTGCGCCAATCAAAGCATGCAGTTATATTGATATATAAACAAAAAAAAATCATGAATCGAAAATCATACAAATAAATCAAATCAATCAATATGTAATCAAAAACAGTATTAAAATTATTGTAAATACACTTATAACTTGTTATTAATATAAAATAAATATATACAGTTATAATCAAAGTATTTACAATTGGTCCTTCAAAAAGCAATCAATCACAACAACCATCCAAAAAAAAACATTGGTCCTTCGAGCCGGATCAATGTTTTTTAGTTGATTGTTTGATTGAATTGCAAGTTACAATCGTAATTATAATAATTTTAATATGTTTTTGATAACGTATTGATTGATTTGATTTATTTTATAATTATCTTTGATTGGCGCGAACAGCTTCATTACAATTGTTGTCCTGTATATTATTAAAATTTTGTATGTATTACCTTAGCATTGTATTTGTTTTTATTGCACTGTCCAGCAACCTGTTCCAAATCCTTAAATTCGTGCTCATACTTCTCGATTCCCAAAACATGAGCCAGTTGTCTGCAATATTAATAAAAATTAATCTCTAACTAAAATTTAATCATCTATCATTTACTACCTGTGTACTACAATATCAGCATATCTCCTAATAGGGCTCGTAAAATGTGTATACCGATCTACACTCAAGGCATAATGTCGCAATTCCTCCTCATCGACAATTTTGCCCACACAAAAATAATGAGCCCTGGTCATCGCCTTAGAGCAAAGATTATTTACAACCAGCATCACACCCTGGACAACTTCCTGGTCTAATTTTTGTTCGATGTTGAGTAAAGATTGCTGGATGGATTTGGAAGACTCGATATTCAAAGTGACGCCGACAGATTTTAGGAAGTCTTGTAGATCCTTCAGCATTCTTGGTTGTGGTTCCAAATGTGCACGCAGGAATGCAGTTTCTGGTAAATTTTGGTATAAATGTTGTGCTACTGTTATGTTTGCTAAAAGCATGAATTCTTCTATAAGTTTGTTGCTGTCTTGTAATTGCTGAATGGTGAAAGATTCTGGTAGGGACGTTTGCGGGTTTAGTTTGAAACTCAGTTTGGGTTGGTCTATCCTCAAAGCCCCGTTGTGAAAACGCTTTTGTCTCAATTGCAAAGCTATGCTTTGCAATATTTTAACCAAACGGGTTAAATAAGACAGTTTGTAGTCGTGTAAAATTGCAGGAAACTTTGTGCAATCCAATTCCTGGTCATCACAGGCCTCCAACATTTCTTGGGCGTGTTCATACGCTAATTGCGTACAAGAGTTTATAACAGTTTTGCGAAATTCCGAGCTGATAACCTCACCTTGTCTGGTCATTTCCCAAAACACAGAAAAACTCAACCGATCAAGTCCTGGTAACAAAGAGCACATCATGCACAAATTTTTAGGCAACATGTGATAAACGCTTTCGACCATGTATATAGAAGTAGCCTTAAAAGCTGCGGCTTTGTCCAAGTCGTTGTCGGGTTTTAAAAAATAACTAACATCAGAAATGTGCACGCCGATTTTTACATTACCGTTGTCTAATTCCTCGCAAGACAAAGCATCATCTAAGTCTTTGGCGGTTAAAGGATCAATTGTAAAGACACATTTATCGCGATAGTCTACGCGTTTACTAATTTCGGTTTGGGGTATTTTAAACGGAACACTTGGGTAAAACTTGTCCATTTCCGCGCCGTAAGGCGTGACGTCCAAATCGTTCTCTAACAAAATAGCTTTCGTCTCAACCTCAACATCGCCGTTCTTACCAACTTCCTTGGTAATACAACCAACACCGTACTTAGTATTAGTCCAAGACTCCAATTTAGCATAATACAAAACATTCAGCACCTCCTTCTCATCAGCATTTTGCAAACTGCTCGGCCAATCCATTTTATACACGCGCATCCTAGGAAACCTCGAATCTCTCGGTATAAACAACAAGTATTTATGGTTCTTATTAAAATTTTGTACAGAGCCTACGCAAGTTCTGGAGTGCTCTGCAGACTTTATATAAACCACTTCACCTGTACGTGCTCCTGGTGTATCTTGCAGTATACGTACAACAACTACATCACTTTCTAAAGCACGATTACGTGCCAACATGCCTTCGATGGTGACATCCACACCACCATCGGGGTGTGTAACATAAGCAGTCCTGTAATTGTTTTTGTTAATTCTAAACGTACCTGAGATCAAGGTTTTGTCCTGTAAACCTTTATCGACTTGCTGGGGAGTCCAGAAGTCAGGATAGGTTTGTTCGCAAGTGCTCACACTTTTGTTAGGACTTCTCGGATTGGGTTTTTTTTGTCTTGGAGTACCACTTTTTCTAGGTTTGTGTTCTTGGTTACCTTTTTGTACGTTTAATTGTGAAAATTTGTTTGTTAAATTATCACTCGGAGTGGGTTTTTGCTCGTTTGACTTTCGTGCTAAGCGTTTCTTAGCATTCTTACCAAGTTTTTTGGGTGCTTCCTCGTTAGACATTGCTCCAGGTGTTTTATTATCTGCAGAGTCTTGTGAGGATTCGTTTGCAGCTTTAGGCAAAACCATTTCAACTTGATTTAAAATATATACAAAAACAGAAGACTTATTTATTATAAAACTTAAATGCAAATACACTTGAGTAATTGTTGGTGTTACATTGTTTAACGTATTATAAAATACATTTTTTTAATCTGTGAAAGTAAAAAAGCACTGTTATAGATAAAAATAATTATTTAAAAGCTTGACTACGCATCACTTATTATAAATTAAGAATTATAACATACCAAATTGATTTAAAATCGATTTCAAATAACTTTTTGTGCAAATTTTACAGATGAAAATAGGTTATGTTGCAAAAATTGATTATAACAAAATATTAACATTTAAAAATATTTATCACAAAAGTTTTATTAATAATTTGTTAATGAATTACTATAAATAATTCATATTATTAAAAATTTGGCACTTTGAACAACTTTTTGTATAAAATATGTCCTTTTACAACACTTGTTTATATTAAATTTTAACATAAAACTGCTGCACTAATATTTTTAAAACATACAACACAATTTAATAAACATTAATAATTTCAATAAAAGTTTGAAAAACTTGTAAAACACTTTTATAATTTGTTTAACAAAAATAAAGATAAGACCTGTCAGATGCACTTGTGAAAGTTAAAAATTTTAGGTTATGTTGTAAAATAAATGTTTTGGGTTTGTTCGGTCACTGACAATCCGCAACTGTCAAATCTCTTTTCTGTACACACCGAACAGACCTTTGACAGTTGAGCTGTCAAAAATGTGAGGTTAGAACAATTCACATAACCAATTCAAGCATTTATTTATTTATAGTTTAATTCAATAATTAAATTATTAAATACTAATTACTATTAACTATGATAAGATGATACCAAAGTTGTGCAATTTCGTTTTAAACAAAACGAATTTATGTCGTAACACATCTCACGTAAAACATTACTTGAATAGTTGCAGATTTTTAAATAGTTCTGTTAATAAAAGTGAAAAGGTTAATAAAAATCTAAGAAGTACCGTTTATTATATAGCTGGAATTGGTGTTTTGTGTGTGGGGCTCAGCTATGCGGCTGTACCCTTGTATCGAATGTTCTGCCAGGTAAATAGATAGATAGATAGATAAATATATCAATTTATCAAAATTTTGCTTCAATTTGCAGGCGACTGCATACGGTGGAACAACAGGAGTCACCCATGATGCTAGTAGTGTAGAAAATATGAAAGCAGTACCTCATAGAGTTATAAAAGTTAGATTTAATGCTGATATTAGTTCATCTATGAGATGGAACTTTAAGCCTCAGCAAACAGAAATTAAGGTAGTATATATATATATATATATATATATATATATATATATATATGTAGTAATTATTATTATATTTTGTAGGTTGTTCCTGGTGAAACAGCTTTAGCATTTTACACAGCAACAAATCCAAGCGACAAGCCAGTTATAGGAATTAGTACTTACAATGTGGTAAATTCCATATTTCATATATATCTATATATATATATATATATATATATATATATATACATATATATATATTATACCTCCAATTATCCTTTACCCCAGGTTCCCTTCGAAGCCGGTCAATACTTCAACAAAATCCAATGCTTCTGCTTCGAAGAACAGCAATTAAATCCTCATGAGCAAGTCGACATGCCAGTATTTTTCTATATAGATCCAGAATTTGCAGAAGATCCCAAAATGGAGCTCGTGGATTTGATAACACTGTCATATACATTCTTTGAGGCTAAAGAGGGCATGAAGCTGCCCATACCGAATTATTTTAAGGGTCATAATGCTAATAAATAATTGTTATAAAGAATGAAAGATTGTGTTAGTAATGTAAATAAAGGTTTGGGTAAAGTTGGCTTGTCTTATGTATAAAATAAATCAATACAATTGTTAATACACAATTGTTGCAAATATTTCTGAAGTTATATATTATTTTATACTATACACTAAATTTAAACAAAAAATTCTTACAGTTTTCTTATTTTTGTGCATCCTTTGAAACATCATCCGTATTATTTTTAACTGTAGCATCATTTTCATTCTGTTCATCGTTTGCATCTTGTCCTTGCTAAAAACATATTAAATGTATATATATATATATATATATATATATATATATATATATATGATAAGGTTTTTCAGCCTTATATATATATATATATATATACAGTAGGCCCTCGCTTTACACGGCACTCTGGGTACACGGTTCCCATACTACACGGAGCTAAAAATCCGACATCCCTCCGACTACACGGACTTCTTATTACACGGTATTTGGTCAACAGCCCATAAGTTCGTTGTGCAAAAGGGTATTGTTGTAAATTTTGTTATCGACTTTTATCTTTTAGACATGCCTGATTGTATAATAGCCGCCTAAGAACACGTTTGAGCTGATTACTGCGTCGCGCCAATTTTTGAATAAGGTGTCAATTTCGTCACGTCATTTACGTCATTTCGTCCGTATTTCTCCTACTTCAAGTTGTATTTCTTGGTCTCCATACAACGCGATAAAAATGGTGCGATTTGTACCAACTCTGAGTCTCTCATAACACGGTTCCCATACTGCACTATGTAAGGTTCCATAGAACGCACTACGAATTAGCCTGAATTTTATGTTAAATACGAGTTTCTTATAGCACGGTTCCTATACTGCACGGTACGCATTTGCCGCGTAAAGCGAGGGTTTACTGTATATATATATATTGTATATAACAGCCTAGAATTAAAATTAAAAGTGATTTGGAAAAATGTAAATAATGTTTTAAATTCAATAAAATTTTAAAATTAAAAACTGAGCCACTTGTTTAAACTGAGCTGTATGCATTTTTTTTTTGTATTTCTATCAATTTTTTCAAAAAGTTGTTCAAACATGTATATAATATTATATATCATTAAAAACTAGATAAAATTATCTATAAATTTATGTATAACAGTTTAAAACTTTTGGTACAAAATTACGTTAAAAAAAATGATTAAATTTTAAAATTAATTACTGGTTGAGCCTTAAATGTTGAGTTGCTTGGTTAAATTTTTTATATCTCGCTAATTTTTTTAAGAAATTTGTTCAAACTTGTATATATTATTATATATCATTAAAAAGAAGATAAAATTATCTATTAATTTGTGTATAACAATTTAAGTCTTTTAGAAAAAAATGTATTTAAAAAATGATTAATTTTTTAATCTCTCTTGTTTAAACCAAACTGTCGAGTTTTCCGGTTACATCTTTTTATATTTCGATCAATTTCGCAAAGAATTTGTTCAAACATGTATAAAATATCAAATATTGTTGAAAAGTAGATAAAATTATCTATAAACTTCTGCATAACAAATTAAGTAGTTTGAAACAAAATTGTAATAAAAAAAGTGATTAAATCTTAAAATTAATTACTGAGCCACTTGTTCGAACGAAAATGTCGAGTTGTCTGGTTACATTTTTTCATATTTTTTTATTAATTTCGTAAAGAATTTCTTCAAACAAGTGTATATTATTATATATCATTAAAAATTATATATAAATCTGTGTATAACAATTCAAATCGTTTAGTACAAAATTATATTAAAAAAATTGATTAAAAGTTAAAATTGAATACCGAGCCACTTGTTTAAACCAAAATGTCGATTTGTCTGTTTACATTTTTTTCATATATCAATCAATTTAAAAAGTTTACATACTTACATATTCTTTTATACATCTAATTATTCAAAATTTCACTATCCAAGTGTAAGAATAGTTTTTATTATATTTTGGTAAATTTTTATTTAGTATGAAAATTGAGTTATTTAAAGAAAAAAAAATCTAAATCTATATAGTAGAAATTATCAAAATACTAAAACCCGCATTTAAACTACAAATTATTAAAAAAAAATCAATATCTGTGTATAACAAATAAAGTCCAATTTATAGTTTGTCAAAAATCTTATTTTTTCAAAGTAATTTTTTTTCAAAAATGTTAATCGTTTTTAAAAAAATAATAATTTTTGGCACGGGAAGTTCCAGCAATTTGCCTTAAGGCACGATGCCTTAATTGCCTTAAGACAGAATTCCACTCACAGCTAGTTTGCAAATGTATTGAAATTTTAATTTGCTCGTCAGTAGAGTCCCTTTTTGTCTTAAAATTTCAATTTGTACGGCAGTAGAGTCCGTTTGATACTAAAATTTTAATTTGCTTGTCAGTGGAGTTCCCATTTCTATTGACATTCTCAATTGGCCATCAGTAGAGTCCCTTTTTGTACTGAAATTTTAAAGTTGCTCGTCAGTAGAATTCCTTTTGCATTGACATTTTAAATTTGCTCGTCAGTAGAGTCCCTTCTTGTACTTAAATATTAATTTGCTCGTCAGAAAAGTTCCTTATCTAATATACTCGTCGGTAGAATCCCTTTTTGTAATGACATTTTAAATTTGTTCATCAGTAGAGTTCCTTTATTTTATTGACACTGTAATTTGCTTGTTAGTAGAGTCCCTTTTTTAACTTCCCGTAGGGTAAGTTATTGTAATGGGCCGAAAATCGGAATTGAAAATTTTTACATTTCTCGACGTTTTGAAAGTTTCTGAACGTTTTTAAGGCATACCTCAAAAAAAATGGATCTGCAGGAAAAAAATTCTATTCCTATTGATAGGGAGATGTGCTGATTAGTTTTTGGCAAAGGCAGGTCCAGCAGTTACGGAGACAAGGAGCAAATAGTGCAGAAAATAGAAATCGAGTTTTTGAGAGAACGGATCAACCGATTTGAATGATCTAAAAAACATTCATTAAGTAATGATTGGGAGAAGTGTTTATTAGTTTTTGGCAAAGGCAGGCCCAGACATTTCGGACATACAGAGTTAAATGTACAAAAAATGGCAATTTTTGATAGAACTAAGCGTCCGATTCAAATGATTCAAAGAACTTTCTGCTTGTCTTAAAAAAATAATTGATTTTGGAAAAAAAAATTTTTGTTCCATTTTTTTTTCTAATTTTTTGTATATCGAAAATAATTCAGATTTTATTTTTAATTCTGACTATAGTTCTAATATACTTTAAACAAATAATTTCAACTCTGTAATTCAGTTTTTATATAATTCTTATAAATATTAGACAATGTTACAATATTTATAATAATCTATTTGAAAACATTCAGTATTCCTCGAATATTTCGTTACGGTACGGGAAGTTCCAGCAATTTGCTTTAAGGCACGATGCCACCCACCCCACTAGTTTAATATTTTAGTCTCTACTGAGCCTTTAATTTTTTGTCAAATTCATAGTTAACTATTATCTACCCCTCACCTCGACTTGGTGCAACAAAGTAGCAGCTTGCAAATAATTGAACTCCGGATTGATGAGCAGCTCCCTGGCAATACGTTCCCTTTCGGTCTGCGCCCACAGGCCAAAAATCAGCCTATGAGCTCCTTGTTCCTCCAGAATATCGACAGACAGCCGCTCCTGCTCCTGATTCTCCTGTTCATGATTCTCTTCATCGTCCAGCTCTTCTTCTTCCTCATCAAACTCTTCATCCTCTTCATCTTCAGTTTGCTCCTCTGCATTCTCGAATTCTTCAAGGATAGTCTCCTGGATTTGATCCTGATCATCAGGATCATTTTCCGATTCCATTGGTTCGTACTCTATGGAGATCTCTAAGGGCAAAAGGGCGCTTTTGGGGTCGTCCGAGTCGGTAAAGGACGTGCGAAGGGTTATGTTGGTTGGGGCTGATGATGCTCCTGCTGGTTCACCCATTGGCGTATCTGAGAAAGATACTTGAATTTAGATGGATATTTAGATGATGATAAAATCAATCTTACCCTCGACGACTTCAATTTCTTCTTCGACATCATCACTGATGTTAGGCAAGTCTTGGTCCATTTGCTGCTCTTCGCCCAAAATGTTGTAATCATTTCTTCCAAAGTCTCTTGCTCCATAATGTAGATGCACCTGTTATTTTGCCTCAGAACACTTTCATCAAGTTCTACAAAAATATGAAATTGATGGAAAATCATTACACACACACGCACACGCACACATATATATATATATATGTGTGTGCGTGTGCGTGTGTGTGTATATATATATATGTGTATATATATATATATATACAGGGCCGGTCCTGGGGTCCTCAGCGCCCGCATGCCATTATTTTTCTAGCGCCCCTCCCCCACTATTATTTTTACTCTTTTTACAGTTCTTCATTAAAAATATACAAAAATTTGCATTAATTTTTTAGAATACTCTTTAATAGTTCTGTGTTTAGTGCATACAAAAATAGATATATGTAAACTAAAAGCGCAAAAATACATTGATTTTAAAAATATTCAGAAGATCGAGGCAATTCGCGGGTGCTCATAATCAAATTTTTGTGTCTTCTATCGTTGTCGCACTACCGAAAATTTTTAAATTTTTATTTTCAATACAAACTTTTCAACAGATTCAAAAATTTCAATTGTTATTTATTGCTTGTAAAAATATTCCTCAAATTTTCAATTATTTCTAACGCATGCGTATTGCGTAATATTAATATTTGGGTTTTGAAACATTTTATTTATTTATTTTGAGGATTTTATGCAATTTATTCTATTGCGCAAAGCAGAAATTTACAAAATTCTATCCTTTCATTATTGAACGTAGCATTGGTACTTTATGTTGGATTATTTTAATTAAATTTTTCATTATTTAAAATATCCAAAATTGCATCGTAAACTCTCCTAATTGATATCGTAAGGGACGAATAGTATGTATTCATCTTTACTTTCCCATTTATTATTTTAAAGTAAAATTTTTAACGTATTTTAAAAATGTTGTCCATTAGTAAAAGATGCAAGGAAAGTATAAATTTTTTGAATGATATTGAAAAACTATATTATAAATTTCATATCCAAATCTTGTTTTGGCGCCCCCTAAGGCGTGCGCCCGCATTTTTTACATACATTGCAGGTAGGACCGGCCCTGTATATATCTTATATATAAAAATGGATCGCAAAATGTGTTGGTAAGCGCATAACTCAACAACGCCTGCACCGATTTGGCCAATCCTTTTTTTAAAATGTTCAAGGATGTTCTTACGGCGAAAAAAATTCGAATAATCGTCGGGAAAACCCTAAAAACAGCCCTTTTCTAACTAATACAAATAATCGTAGTCGGCTTCTCGATATTATTTCTTATGTTTTACTTTCGGCAGGCGATAAAATTGGTATGGCGTTAAAGAATTTGACTTCAAGTCATATAAGATTTAAAAAATCAATGTCAATGTCCATTTGCCGCCCTTGCCGGTGGTGCTTTTCCTGCATTTTCTGTTATACTCTACTGAGTGTGCTTTTGTTTTGTTTGTAGTGTTTTGTTATCTACCTATGAATAAAAAGTTATTGCATGTGACACAATATTTTAATATTGCTTCCTATAAGACGAGGCAACTATTGATCGTTTGGGATGAATGCACGACGGCACATAAAAAATCTTTTGATGTAGATTCAGAACCTTAAAAGATCAACAGACCAATCAGAACCGATTTGATAGATTTTTTTGACAGGACGAAGTCTGTCGGGTCAGCTAGTATATATATATATATATATATATATATATATATTAAAAAAGTCTAGTAATCGGGCATAACATCAATATAAACATGAATCTCTTTCAAAAATTTATTTTAAAGCCATACGTTTCGGCTATAATCTTAGTCTTCACTCAGTGGAAACTAAAAATAAAATTAAAAACTAAAACAATTGAATTGGAGTGAAAACAAAAAATAAAATAGTAAATAGTACTTACAATTAGTTAATCTTAGTGTTAAATTGGGAGATTTTAATAATCCATGGTATCAGGATATGGTAATGCACTACACTATGTATTATAAACATTAACTTGTAATTACACAATATTTTCACAAAATACTAATTTAAAAAACCACAATTGGATAGTGTGTTGTTCGTAGACTAGATTGTAATTTAATTTACATAGGAGAAACGAGCCAGAACTTAATGAAACATAAAAACAATTCAAAAAATCCAAAGCAGCTCAAAACTATGATTGCGGATCATATTTATACTTTAAAACACAATATGGACTTTTCTAACCCGACTGTACTACAATTCGAACAAAATATATTCAAAGGAAGAATTATATAAGGATCTTCTATATTTTTTACTATTTATAGCAATAAAACAATAAATAAGTGGAATGAATTTAACGCGCTGTGCGACACAAATCTCTCTTTTATTTAGATAGTATTTCTAAATTTTCACAAAACAATAAAAACGACGCGCAAAGGATTCGCAATTCGTTGGTAAAAAATATTTTTTTAAAAAAAGTCCTTTCTCCATTATATCTTCAACCAGTCTACGAACAACACACTATCCAATTGTGATTTTTTAAATTAGTATTTTGTGAAAATATTGTGTAATTACAAGTTTAAAGTTCATAATACATAGTGCAGTGCATTACCATATCCTGATACCATGGATTATTAAAATTTTTCAATTTCACACTAAGATTAACTAATTGTAAGTACTATTTACTATTTTATTAATTCTTTTCACTCCAATTCAATTGTTTTAGTTCTTAATTTTATTTTTAGTTCCACTGAATGAAGGCGTATGGATTTAAAATAAATTTTTGAAAGAAATTAATGTTTTTATTGATGTTATGCCCGATTATTAGATTTTGTTAATACACACATATATATATATATATATATATATATATATATATATATAATCCTTTATACCTGGTGCATTAGGCCTTCTAGTAACATTTTGCACTTGACTTTCTCCTTCAACTGTTGGTGCTGGTTCCGCAGGTTCCACTACCAACACCAACATTGGTTCGTGTAAAGGACCAATTCTGCGTCTACTTCTACTTCTACTTCTACTTCTACTTGAACTATTATTTCGCTCATCGGAATTGCCGTTTTCTTCTTGAGAAGCATCATGCTGTTGGTTCGAATTTTCTTCTGAAGGTTCCTTTTGGTTGTTGTTGTCCATTGTGGTAAATCGTGATCTGTAATAAAGGTTTGATATAAAATAAAATGAATAAACTAGTGGTGTATGGCGTCGTGCCTTAAGGCAAATTGCTGGAACTTCCCGTACCGTAATGAAATATTCGAGAAATTTTAAACATATTATTACAAATAGTGTAACTTTCATTATTTTTACTGTCTTGTTATTTCTGAGCAAATCAAATGTCAATCCAGAGCATGAGCAAATTAATAAAATTAAAAAAAGGACTCTACTGATAAGCAAATTAAAAATCGATCTACAAAATTAAGAAGGAACTCTACTGACGAGCAAATTATTAATCTAGAGAAATATTTTTTCAAGTTTGTGTTTTATTGTAATTATGCAATTCGATACACATAATTTGTTTAATATAATAAATTTAATTCCTTATTAAAAATATAAATAAAAAAAATTAAGAAAGAACTCTACTGACAAGAAAATTAAATATCGATCTAGAAAATTAAGAAAGAACTCTACTGACAAGAAAATCAAATATCGATCTAGAAAATTAGGAAAGAATTCTACTGACAAGCAAACTAATAAAATTACAAAAAAGGGCTCTACTGACGAGCAAATTAAAAATAATTTTAAATGAAAAAGAGGAGCAAACTAAACATAAATTTAGGAAATTAAGAAAGGACTCTACTAACAAGCAAATTATTGAGTAATCTAGAGAAATATTGTTTCAGCTTTGTTTTTAACTGTAGTTAAAATTCAATGAAGTTAATTCGTTTAGTATAATGAGTCTAATATGATTTTTTATACAAAATATAAACTGATGGTGTGTATGGCATTGTGCCTTGAGGCAAATTGCTGGAACTTCTCGTGCCGTAATAAAATATTTGAGCAATTTTAAACGTTAATAACAAATGCTGTGAGGTTAATTATTTTTGCTATCTTGTTATGAGCAAATCAAATGTAAATCATAAATCATAAATCAATTTATCTCCAGAACATTAACAATCGTCATTTCATTTCGTATTCAATTTAAAAAAAAAAATAGTTGTCTTAATTTACACAAAATCGAAAAAGTGCTCCCGTATAGTCACAGTCTAAACGCATTTGCAAATAATTCTGTGCGACATTTTCACTTATACTGTGCTTAGCTTGGTGGCATTTTCACATTTTTCAATAGTTTTTGTTTTCACAAAATTGGAAAAGTGCTCCAGTACATAAACAGTCTAAACGCACTTGGGTAACGCATTTGTACCAGAAGGGCGCTTAGACTGTGCTTAGCCTGGGCCATTTTTTGAATTTTTAATCCAAAATCACAAAAATATTTTATGGAAAATGAGAAAAGATGTAATAATTTTTTATCCACAAAAGCAATTGTTTTTTTTTGTCAATACAAACCAAATGACGCTTTCAGTTCACTCAAAAACTGCCATTTTTTGCACATTTAGCTCTGTATCTTCGAAATGGCGGGACCTGTCTTTGCCAAAAACTAATCACCTCTTCTCCCAATCATTACAAATTGAATGTTTTTAGATCATTCAAATCATCAATCAAAAAATGGACCAAATCATTCTAAATCGAAATTAAGCTTGCTCGTCAGTAGAGTCCCTTTTTTTAAATATTATAGGTGAAAGTAGAGTTCTTTTTTTAATTTATTTTAGATAAAAGTTGAGTTTGCTCGTCAATAAAGTTCCTTTTTTGAAATATTCTAGATAAAAATTAAAGTTAACTCGTCAGTAGAGTCCCTTTTTTAATTTTTTAGATAAAAATAACGTTTGTTCGTCAGTAGAGTTTCTTTTTTTAAATATTTTAGATAAAAATCGTGTTTGCTCGTCAGTAGAGTCCTTTTTTATATAATTCTTTTTAATATAATATTTTAACAATTTCATTTAGGAAAATCTCGGCTAAGTTTGCTAGTCAGTAGTGTCCTTTTTTATAAAGGGAGGTTAATAAAGAAATCAACAAATATTTTAATTAACAATTTACCTCAACGTCGGCTCTTTCTTTTTTTCACAATTTTTGCTCAAGCAAAGTTTGTCCAAAAACAATAATTTAGATTTTAAAAATGGAAAATAAATTTGAAATATTTTACTTATGACATTATGATTGTAAATAAAAACAAAATGTAATCTCAGACGTAAACAAACGAAACATAATAAAGTATGCTCTGATTTAGAATTAAATTCGGTTGCTATGGATCAAACATGATCAGAGGTCTGGATAACAAATAGATGAACAAATAGATTCATCTTGTTCGAAAAATCGAAATTAAAAATTTTTGCATTTCTCGACGTTTTGAAGGTTTCTGAACATTTCGACATACCTCAGAAAAAATGGATGTGTGTGTGGTATAAAATTTTTCATCCACGTTTTTTGGGCGCACCGATCAGCCGATTCGAATGATTCATTTACCATTCGATTCCTATTGATAGGAAGATGTGTTGATAGGTTTTTGGCAAAGGTAGGTCCGGCCGTTTCGGAGATACAGAGCAAAGAGTGCAGAAAACAGAAATCGAGTTTTTGAGAGAACGGAGTATCGGATTTGAATGATATAAAAACATTCAATTTGTAATGATTGGGAAAAGTGGTGATTAGTTTTTGGCAAAGGCAGGTCTAGCTGTTTTGGAGATATATAGCTGAATGTGTAAAAAAATTCGGTTTTTGAGTGAACTAAGCATCCGATTTGAATGATTCAAAGAACTTTCTGCTTGTATTGACAAAACAATTGCTTTTGAGGATAAAAAATTGTAACATCTTTTTTTATTTTCCATAAAATATTTTTGTAATTTTCATTAAAAATTCAAAAAATTACCTAGGCTAAGCACAGTCTAAGCGCTACTCCGGTACAAATGTTTACCCAAGTGCGTTTAGACTGTTTACGTACTGCAGCATTTTTTCAATTTTGTGAAAGAAAATATTGAAATATGTGAAAATGCCGTCAAGCTAAGCACAGTATAAGTGAAAATGTCGCATTGATTTATTTATTATATACATTTGATTTGCTCAGATATAACAAGATAGCAAAAATAATGAAAGTCACAGTATTTGTAATAATATATTTGAAAACGTTTAAAATTTCTCAAATATTTCATTACGGTACAGGAAGTTCCAGCAATTTGCCTTAAGGCACAATGCCATACACCACTAGTTTTAATATGTTTTGGTATTATAGTTTTCATTACAATTACATCAATGCCATAAAACCTGAAGATGAATAATATCAAGTTCCAAAAAGCAAAAAAATAAATACCAAAATTTCTATTTTTATTACGCCAAAAAGTCATAATATATTACTATGCAAATTATTTTTTACATTTCTCATTTATTACATTTAACGCTTACCATGCATATCCGAGCCTAAGCAAAAACGTATGAAAAAGCGTTGTGTTAGGTTCGGACGACATGGAAAGCACTCGCGATTTTCTTTAAAACTTAAAATATTTTTCTAAAATATGTAGTGCGATAAGCAAATTTGACTTTGGTACAAATTTAAATACTTTTTTGCAATAGTTCACAACAACCCGATATACTTATAAATCAGTCCCAAAATAAATGATTTTTTTTATGTTTTTCGGAAAGTTCTTGGTACTTGCCTTAAGACAAAACGCCACTTATATACAACAAGTTATAAATTTTTATTTAATAAACAATAATATTATTATTGTTCATATATAAAATTATAAATTTGTTTATTATAAAATCTAAAATTTCGTCCTCAGTATTCCATGACAAATCCGTCATTCGAATTTTTAGGTCAACGTCATTTGAAAAAAGTCCAGTGGAAAATAATTCGCGTGAAACAAACACACTTTTCATTTTTTTGCAAATTTTAGTTTTTTCGGCGAGCGGTTCAAAATTTTTGAAAAAAAAGTTTATAAATAGATTCTGGATTACGATATGAAATTATGTGTGTGAAACAATTTTCGATGACAGGCTCGATGACTGTAAAGGTAATAATTATAGAAATTTATGAATATACCGATTTGTGAAGTTAGACAATATTGTTTATTGTTTAATTGTGCACAAATTTCTCAAACGCCACATTCATATAAATCGAATGGTTTTTGTGTTATAGAAGATTTACATAATCAATGCGTTATAGTAAATACATATATGAGAAGTCAGGATTCCATTAAAATATTTAATTTGAAGTACACCGAGTTGCTCTAAAGCATTAGATGCTACATACAAATATACATGATTTAATTTTGAACATGTTTGTCTTATATATCATTCATATTAAACGAATGCTTCAAAAGTTATTCTGGTTAAAGAAAAACCATGTACAATTCAATATTTAACATTAATCAGTGAACTGAATATTTTTATTAAGTTATAAGATAAGAGACAAATCTTATCCGAGTTTAATATTTCTTCTGTCTTAGATCAATAGACAAGAAAATGAACAAAAAAAATTTGAATGAAGAAAATTCGGATAAATGGCTTTGCGAAGGAACGGCGAGATCACCACCAAAAATAAATGAGGTGAAAAATTAAATTAAACTAGATGCAAGTAGTCTAATTTTACCTAAGAACAATTTCGTAGTTTTTAAGAATATTTTAATAAATTTGACCATTGAAAATATGGTTATCCCTAAATCTACTTACTAGGGTTTGTCGGTTTTAAAAACCGGTCTTTTGGCGAAAATTATGGAATTCGAAAACCGGTTTTTTAGTGAAAAAAGTCGGTTTTTACTGTATAAATGGAAAATGACAAATATAGCCAAATATAAAAGATAGATGAAAGCTTTTTGATTCTCGATATCATATCGTTTCGATAGCATTTGATATCTTATCAGTCTGCAATGGTTCCCAGAAAAGTTTTGTATATATTAATTTAGACTTTTATAACAGTGTATATATTAATTTAAATCAGTGTGACTTCCTCTTGAAGAACTAACTTCCTCGACTCAAACTTAAAAAAAAAGAGTTTTAAACCGTAGAAGCCACAAATTAAAGAACAAAAAACTTAGAATTATTATATCAGACTTTAAAACAATTAGCCTAATTTCGTCGCAAGTATGAGAGTA